CTAGCCCCTGCGCCATGGTAACAGAGCTAGGCCTTGTGCCAGTCCAACAAAGCTAGCCCCACTGCTAACAGATGTAGATTGTGTGCCATGGTTACAGAGCTAGTCCTGCAAGTAAAGAGGACAAATAAATAATAAAACATTTTAGAGAAGAGGTTGGTAGTTTAATTCTGTGAAGCTGCAGGGTGTTGTTTCTTTCCGTACTGAAATGTATTTTTACTTGATTAAAAAACTTTTCAATGAAGAAAAAAAAAATAAGAGTAAAGTTTACTTTTTTTTATTGTCTTTTTTTGTGTGTATTTGTTTACCATGAACAATGCCACCTATTTTTATGAGGCAACAGTTCTTTATCTTTCCTTTAGATTGAACAATTCAGGTGGAGAAAGAGGAGAGTAGATAAAGATAGGCCAATGGGTAATGCTGCCTGGGCTGCTTGTTTTACAGGTTCTTTGCCGTCAGATGATGGTGTGACGCTCAGCCTGTCTGTGTGCTGGTTTTACTTCCTGGTTTTCTAACTGCTTTGTGGTACCCACATCTGGTAGAGACTGTTACCCCTCCCCAACAAATTTCCCCCGTTTTTCTTTCTTTTTTTGCACAGCCAGGGTTGTTGGTGAGGCAGTGAAGCCAGCGGAGCATATCACACTTGGTACTGCTTTCACAACTGGTTTTGCATAGTTGTGTGTTGGTGTGTGTGTGTGTGGGCTCTTGTTTATCCATTGTACCACCAAAGTGAGGGCCATCTGCTGGAAGGTGAGGACATTTTCCTGGTGAATTGAATTTAGGTTCGACTCAGGGTTAGTCATGTACTGCTAACAGTAATGGTTACGGTTAGGTCAGGGTTGGGCCATACAAAGCATTGAAAATTAATGGAAGTCAATGCATGGTCCTCACAAAGTAATGTAATTCACAAAGATGTGAGTCTGGTTATGTACTTCTTCTGAGTAATGTTTAGCATCAGGCCATAAAACAGAATGAAAATGATTTGAAATCATTGAGAGTGAATGCAAGGTCCTCAGTAGGAAGGTAAAACCCTGAATGTGTGTGTGTGTGAGGGAAGAGCTTCAGAGGTATTCATAGATGCGGTTAGAGTTGTGTGCAGCTACATGAATGAATTAACTGAAGCTTTCATTTTTAGGACAGTGTGTGTTTTGTTATCTCTTGGTGTCTGTTGCCGTTGGTTGTTTAATTTTTAACCCATCAAGACAAAATCGAAGAAAATAAGCTGTACTTTATACACTGGATTACTGTTCTGACGTAGTGGTGTGATGATGATGATGATGATGATGCCAATAACTGGTATAGTAGAAGTTGGAAAGAAGAAAGCATCTGTAAATACAATAAACCATGATCATTTTGAGGGGTCTTAGTTTTTAACATTACTCAGGCGAATGTCACATGATAACAAAGAAAAGCAGTATTTTATGATTTATCCTTCCAGTCAAGGTCACAAATTTTAGTGTTGTATAAAAAAGATTTGGGAAACTTTAAGGTATTGATCAGAAATTCCTTTTTTTATTCAAAAGACTATGGCTAAAACTAATACTGCTGTGTGCCAAAGCTTTACATTATTAGTCAACATCCAGTTACGAGGATCAATCATTAACCTAAAGATTGAATCTTATTATATTTTATGATCTGCCTAACTCAGGCAGAGGCTAAATGTTATTTAATCTTTTGAATGAGTGTCCTTGGTTTATGGACATGGAGTCTGGATAATCCTAGTAAATTAGATTTTTTCTGGATACTAGGAGACCTTTTTGGATATTAATTCCCCGACAGGGAGAAGGGTAGAGTCTGCTGCTCACAGAGGGCTCATAGTCATTTATTCAAAGGGACTTGTATACATTTATTCTGGATAAACACTGGATATAATCAGGGTTCTGATAACATGTGAATGAATAATCCCTGAGCTGTGCTGATTAGAGCCTGACAGTTACGGTAGCTCTGAGCGATTAGAGCCTGACGGATACACTAGCTGTGAATTTATAAGGTCTTTGATGATTCAATCAGCTGATCAGAAGCTTGTTTTTCAGGGAACATGCAGAAATACCAGAGGTAGGAGGTAGGACCTTGTTATTGCAAAGCAGCAGGGCTACAGACCTCTCCGCCGTGTAGCCCTTCTTCACATTTAATAGTGCAAAA